GCCACCCCAGGTTTCAAGAAGAAATGCAGAATTCCAGTTCTCAGGGAGGGGACAGTTAATAGGACCTCTCACAGTGAGCCTGCTGACCCCACGGGGCCACTTTCCTGGGCTCCCAGAGATCTGGAACAAGGTGGGACATGCATACCTGGGCTTTAGTGTCAGATCTGGGCTTGAGTCCCAGCTCAGCCACTTAACCCCGGCAGCAGTGGCAGTCAGATGGCCCAAACACTCTGTGAGAGCAGGGAGTGGACGGACGGTGCAGGCAGGCTGCTTGACACAGAGGTGAGGGGCATGCAAGGTAATTAGGATGACTCTGCAGCAGATCTGCCCATCGGCTGCCTGTCCACCTGTGTGAAGGAGTTAATTCCTCCTCAGAGAGCAGGCAGCCCCACTTCTCCACTGATTCTGGGGCTGGTATTTGGGAAGGATGGACGCCTGTGGGACAAGGGTGCATAGAGGAGATAGTCTTAGGGTGAAGGCTGGGACCTTGGGCACTCAAGGAAATCCATTCTTGGTGTCAGAAATCCTTGGGTTTTCCAAGCCCCAGTTACAAGGAGAATTAGGGGGTAAGGGGGTGGGGCAGAGAATGAGGGAGGAGGGGGAGAGAGAGAGAGAGAGCAAGAGAGGGTGAGCACACAGCTCTGTAATGGAAACTTGGCTCCCAGCCTCCACTTTCTTTCCTTCCTTAGCATGTGGCTCAAGTCTCGGGTTGAGAACTTCTTCCCCTTCTAGCAGGCACCCCGTGCTAGCTCCACGGCGTACTCCTGCCCCACCCTGCCCCCTCAGAGACTGCAGTCCTACAGACTGCCTCTGCTCACCAGTGTGGGGCATGGAACATGTGAGCCTGCTGCCTCCCTCTTTATGCACCCCCCCCCCCGGGCTAATTAGGCCAACATGCACTTCCAGGGCCTGGCAGATGAGGAGCCAAGAATGCAGTGGACAGGGGCCAAGTGTTTTTGTTGACATTGCTCAAGTGTAGCTTTGTGGAGCAGTCTCTGCCATAGCAGAGAAAGTCCGAGGAAGCCGGAGATGATGAGGGGAGAGCAGTGCAAAAACCAAGTGTGGCCACCTCTCCACATCTTTTCTGCCTTCCTCACTGCCCACCCTCTGCCCACCCTCTGCCCCACTTCCCTAAATCCAAGAATATAACCCTCATGTCATGACCAATGGGACTAGCTTAGTCTCTAGGAAGGAAATCCACACTCAGAGGAGCATTATGTGTCCAGTGGTGTTTCAGAACCATTTCCTTCATTCATTGAGATGCTTTCCTGGGGCAGTGTCATGCTTGACTGTGTTCTTAATAGTTGCTGAGGAAACAGCCTTCTTGAAAATAAGTCCAGTAAGACTGTCCTCACCCTAACCTGTGTAAGGCGCAGTCTGCATTGCTCTGGCTTACTGTGGCTGAATGACGCAACCCACTGAATTCCGTCCTTTTCAGGACCTACCAGACCTGGGTTCAAATCCCATTCTGCCCCTTCATGCTCCCTGTGTGACCTTGGTCGAGTTTTTCTAACCTCTCTGTGCTTCAGTTTGGAGCTAGTAGCTCACAATAATACTGTTGTAAGGTGAAACATGGTGAAGAAAGGAAAAGTCTTTGCACATAAATAGACACTCAGTAAGTGGAAGCCATGATAACTATTAAATGGTAGTTGATGTGACCATGGATTGGCTCCGCTTGACTTATTTACTCTAAAAAAGGCAAGTTGACCCCAGAACTGCCTCTTCCTACCTCACACGGAATTTTGCGAGAACAAATGAAATGGGATATAATATTGTCCCACTTGGCTCAGTGGGAAGCGAATGCAGTGCTTAGTTTTCATCATTCTCATTTTCTCAGACTCTGATCTCTGCATTAGTGGTCAATGGTAAAATATATTTCTGTGGAGATAAAAGTTTGTAGGTTTTGGAATCCAGAGGTACTGCTTTAATAGTCTCTAATTCCTGAAGATATTGAATCATTCTGTAAAAAAAATAAAATCCTCTAATTTTCTGCTACAATAGCTGGCTTTATTTATACATCTCTAATTGGTATCAGCTTTTCTCTCACAATTACAGAACCATGGAAACTTGGCCTAGGAAAGAACTTTGGAAGTCATTGGAAGGGACACCCTTGCTTCTTTGCGAATCTTTGCATTGCTGTGTCACAAAGCACTTTCCTTTGACCCAGATTATGAGCACAGCAGAATGGCCAGTCTGTTGGTCCCTAGCACAGCTCTGCCTCTGAATCTCCTGCAGGCTGGCAGATGCCTTTAGTGCCCTGCCCACATCACTTTGTTCTCACCTCTTCAGTGCACACTGGCGCTGTTCAACTGTTAGCACCTGTATCTCATTGTCCAGGGCCTTTTTCTGGGCACCAGAACCTCCCTTGGACATGTGGCAGGTTGAAAGTGCCAGGGAATTAGTGTCCCTGGGAACCGCCTGCAGCCAACAGCAGACCAGGAGTAGGCAGATAAATACGTAAGCTCCTCACTCCCTGGGTGTCTGAGATACATGTCTACATTGGCACCCAGAGCTTTCAGAGTGTTCAAACTCTAGTTGATTCATTTTGGCAATGAACATGACATGCACCCTCTGTTGGCTGGCTCCCTTTCCCTGTCTCATTTCCCTATTCCTAGACCACCCCTCCCCCGCACCCTATAAACCACCTTGACTTGAATCTTTTTGCCTCAAGGGCTGCTTCTGCGGAAACCTGGCCTGAGACAAACGGGATGTCTTTCTCCACACTTTGAGATTATTTATGATATTATGGTATTAAATTCACATTTTAGGGCTGCTTGTTGGATTTTAAGGTTACTGACATTGTTTCTTCATGAAATTTTGAAAAATTTTTCTGTGCTTGTCAACAGTCTTAATCATAAGAGTTAACCGTTCAGGTTAACCAGATTACACAAATGCCTGCTTTATCCTTGAATTATCTTTGGTATTATCCTCACATTTTTGGTGAAACTGATATGACTACCATGTAGGTTTTATATTTCTGAGTCTATAGTTATCATTTATTGTAGTGAAGTTAGTTAAGTTCCACTGTCTACTTTTTTTTTTTTTAAGAACATATTCAGGGCTGGCCAACATGCATAAGGTTTAATTAGATATCTTAATAATTTTACTTCTGGGAACAGTTTCCCTTTGACTGTGGAAAACCTCAATGCATGAGAGGCTGACATTTTTGTGTCTTGTTGGTTTAGGTGAGATGTCCATAAGCATTGTGATTTTTCAGAAACTTCTTTGAGCCTCACTTTATCCATCCCCAAAACGGGAATAATTATTTTGATATGTGCTTACTGAGCAACTCTGAGCCAGCAGCCATTAAGTAAAATACGTTGTTGGAGGAACAACAGTGGACAAAGTAGACAATGTTTGAGTTCCCCCTTTCGTTCCCACATGATGTCATGAAGTAAAAATTCAATAATGAAGGTGATATTATTTAGGAAACTGAACCACCATGGAAATAGAGAAATGCGTATGATGACCTTCAGCTTTTCATGGACAGTTTCAGAACACCACAGTGATGTGGCTGGATGGGGTGTACCCTCCAGGCTTTTGTGAAGGCCATTGCACATTAGGCCCTTGTCTTATATTTAAATCCATTTTCTGACCACCGCAACTCTGGAACTCAAGAGGTTGCCATTGTGTCATGTCATATCTTTACTTAGTGCCAAGCCACTGGAAGGAGTCACCTTGGCTTGCTGTTTCCATCTTCCAGTGACCCCTGATGTCCAGCTTTGTGGTGTCTTTGCTTCTGTCCTCCTTGATTTGTACATAGTGTCAAGGCTATTGGCCACTCTTTATTTTGGAATTCTCTGTCTGCTCATCTTCTGTGGCACCATTTTCCTTGCTCCTTTTCTTCCATTCATGATCCTTTGATGGCTTCTTTTCCTATACTTGCTCTCTGAAAGAATCTTGAGTTCCCCATAATTTCTTGTTCCATTCCCTTCTCTTTAGTTCCCTCCCTTCCTCCCCTGGGAGACCCTATTCATACATGTCTCATACTGTGCGCTGTTTGCTTATGACTCTCCTGATGCTCTCTGTCCCCAGAGGCGTTTGCACCCATGTTCACATAGACAGCATGCCTCCCTTGCAAAGCTCCACATGCAATTCAGACTCAACATGTCTTTAACAGAGAACACACTGCATTCTCCCTCTCATGTACTTTTCAGTCTCTGTTCTGTTTCCTGGCACTTCCATCCCCCAAGTCATCTCAGCACTGTTCAGTGCGTATCCCCTTCACATATTCAATGGTCTGCTTTTCCTCATTCCTGCCTTCATCACTTGCTTATGGAACTCTTGCTATGTGGTATTCAAGGCCTAGGCTCTTGGATGCCAAAATGGTGTCTTAGCTTGGATAACCCTTCAGAACCCTGATCAAGTGTTCAATTGCAGGTAGCTTTTTTTGGGAGGTAGTTCAAGGAAATGCTGGTAGGAGAGTAGATGCTGGTGGGCTGGAGCCAGTTATTCTGACTTAGTGGACTAAACTGTGCCCATCTCTTCCTAAATACATGTTCAGTGAGGCCATGTTGGTAGCTTGAAATAGGCCATAATGGGACTATTTACACCACAAAAATTGGCCCATGGCCACAAATGAAGATTCCCCATCCCTCACCCCAAGAATTGGTTGTTAAACATTTCTCAGTATTGTTTTGGGAGCAAGGAATTAAAACAGGGAAGGGCAGAGTCGGTAAAGTGGCTTTATCATGAGAGTTACACTGTAATATAAACAACTAGAGTGGGATTCCAGTGAAGAAAACTATGGAATTCAGGTTAGAATATACACCTCAAAGTCATCCCACTGGAGCAGTGAGTATTAATATACTACTTCCTACCAGTTACTGGCTGAGGGCTACCCTTGGGGCCCAGTAGGATCCAGTAGCCAGAGGAAGTACAACAGTAAGGCCTAAGGGGGTACAGGTGGGGCTGAGCACCAGATGGCTGACTAAGACACTGAGCACCCAGATTAGTAAAGGCTAATTAGTGATGTGTGGTTATTATCTTTTTCTCCCCAGACCTTGACTTCATGGATCTCATAGGGGAAGACCGACAGTGGACGCTGGGGAGGAAGCTAATGCAGGTGAATGACACTGTGACTTCAGAAGACACAGACCTTCGGAGCAGCAAGAACTGCACTGAACCAGGTAACTGACAGCTGCACTCTGGGCAGTGGCTGCTGTTTTCTCTGCTTTTGGCTAAGAAAGAGTTGGATGCCATGTTTTTTCTTTGAATTCTAACCTAGAGAGACTTTAAGGACATTTAGGGCAAATGTCTAAGAAACTCAAAGGTGAGACCCCAGGGGACTATGCAGGTGTGTTTGTACCTCTTTCCTTAGGGCATCTGAAGAAAAGGTAAGTCAAAGTCATGGGAAATACAGTGATAGGGCGTCCCATCATCGCCTTTGTTATGGGAAAGAATGGAGTCAAATGTGATAGGGTGACCAGCTCTGGGGTGTTGGGTTCACTATGCCTGGGCCAGTGTGATGGAGGGCTTGCTTCTGTTCGCTGGTGTTGGAGCCGTGGCTTATGGAGGCGAAGTGGTTTCTCTGTGAATATCATTGCTCACTGTATCAAGAAATGCCTTTCTCATGGTGACAGATATAGAAGAATAAAGCACATTAAAAGCCACTGCAAGAGAGGAAATGACTCAGTTTACAGGTAGAAAGGAAGATGTCCAAGTTTTTATGAAGAGCATGAGCCCAGCACCTGCTGGTGTTGGCAGGAGTGGGGGCTGGGAGGACAGGGAAAGGGAGGAGAGGAAAGGCTTTATGAGGGCAATGGGAGGAGTAAATGAAAACTCACCATGTTTTGTAGAGCTGGTCCACGAAGAACAAGGACCCAGCAGGCACATTCTTGAGGTCCTCATCTGTGGACTATGGGGACTGGACTTGATTTCTGGGGCCCTTGACTCTGAACCAGATTTTGTAGGGAAGGCGATCATGCTGGAACCAGGAAGGGTCTTGTTCAATTCCTAACATATCCAGGGCCTGCCTGGAGCCTCTCTCCTTCACTAAGCTGCTTGGACCAACCCAGATGGCTGTGGCCATTCTGCTTTTGAATTTTTTTTTTATGTAAAATGTCTCTCACTGCACTGTTTAACATGGGCATTCAATGGTGACTTAATTAAAATGAATTCAAATTAAATACAATAAAAAAAATCCAGATTCTCAGTTGCACTAGCCACACATCAAATATTCAAGAGCTGTTTGGGGCTCATGGCTACCATTTGAACAGTACCGATCATAGAGTGTTTCCATCGCCTATCGGATAAACTGGTCTAGAAGGTCCATTTGTCTCCCGTCTTTCTAGCTCAAGGATATAGTGTGGATGTGTAAATCTCAGAGCCCCATCTCCAATCTGGGTCTTGGGATCACACTCACCTGGGTTGGAATACTGGCTTAGCACCTTGGAAGCTGTGGGCTTTGGGCAAAATAGTCAGGTTCTCTAAGCCTCTGTTTGCTTCTCTGTGAAACTAAAGTAATTATTCTATCCTTTCACATTTGCTGTGAGAATTGGCAATGAAGTAATAAAGTATTACCAGCTTAGTGCTCTGCGTATGGTAGCGCCCTAGGAGGAGCTCACTCAGGAGTTCCCACTGTCGGCTTGGGGCACCCCTCCCTCCATTGCAGGCAGGTCATGAAGTTACATTCTCCAGCCCCTCCTCATGGGAATGGGCAGATACTGCACGTCTGTTCAGTCAACAGGTCACTTCCTCGGGTGACCCAGGTCTGGGCAGTCAGCTAGGTGTGCAGAGAGGCTCAGGCACCACCTTCTAACACAGACAGGTTGGAAGATCTCACTCAAGGCGCCTCTAAGGAATCCCCTGTTTCTATAAGGATGTGATCAAAACATTGCCGCAGACTCACATCACCACCAATTGTCTTGGTCTTCTTTCCGGAATACTGTCGCAAGACTCCTTCTCGGTGTTCACGGAATGGATATTTTATGAAAAAAGTTGAGAATCAAAGCACTCGTGAGATCTTGATTTAGAATCAAAATTTAATAGTATTCCTCCTCTTTACCTCTAACTGACGATAGGGTGAGAGGAGTTGGAATGAGCCAGTGGCAGGCCCATTCTCAGCATGCTGCCCAGTTTCCCTGGAGAGGCCAGAGCGGCCCTGTATGCAATGAATATTACTTCTGCTGGTTGAATGTGGTGGTGTCTGCTCTCAAATGTCTTAAATGTAGGGACTAGGAAGTGAGTCAGGTGGATTTTGGATGACCATCTTCCTCTTTGTGATGATGTCAGCTGAGCATTCATGATGGTGATGCATCAGGGTGCCCTGTGTGCGTGAAGGGTGGCTATTTACTCAGGACCTGAGCACTTGGGGTGCCAGCATTTGCCGTGACCAGGTGAGTAATGGTGCCAGGTCACAGGAGTTAATTAGGCTCTTGTCATAAAGTGCACCTAGTGCTACTTGGGATGTCACAGGGCTTCTCAGACTATTCTTAGAACCCCTGGCTTTAGATGCCATTAGAGTAGGTAAAGTGGATTCTCTGGGGGATGGGGCTGATTTGCTCCCTAGATGTCAATTTCCTCACCTATGAAATAGACCTGCAACTAGTTTATCTCTCCAATTCCTTCCATTGCACAAATTTAGTTATGCAAGAAATTTCCAGAACAGAATCACAAAAACTTCCACCCCAAGATGCCCCCACTCCACTTGCATTAATAACCTCTTTGTGTTTCCATGTCATACCACAGTCCTCCTTTTATTCCCTCTACTCTTCGCCCTCCTTCCCTTTCCCTCTCCACCTCCACCTTCGCCTCCTCATTTCCATCTCCTTCTTTCCTTCTCTCTCCCTCTTCTTCTTTCTGAACACGGAGTCCCAGCACCCGGCCAGGGAACGGCCAGGATGCAAGATGCAGGGTTCCCTCTATAAAGTGTCAGTGCCACCTTGTCCCAGTGGCTCAGTTGGTTGGAGAATCTTCCCGTACACCAAAACGATTGCAGGCTCAATTCCAGGTCAGGTCAGATACCTAGGTTGTGGGTTCAGTCGCCAGTTGGAACACGTACGGGAGGCAACTGATCGATATTTCTCTCTCTCACTTCCTCCCTTTCTAAAATCAATTACAAAGTATATCCTCGGGTGAGGATTTAAAATAGATAAGGTGGCAGTGCTGTCTGTAGTTGGTGTGGCAGCACTGAGATGGCACACTCTCCATGTGATAGCTGCCACTTTAAAGACATGTTGCTTTGTACAGTTTGGATTTTTATTTTAAATGGCATTCTTCCCTTGCTGCTAACGGCATGGTTTTGGTGGAAATTTGTAATTTTTGCCTCCAGAACTGCATGAAAAAGGCTGACCTTGGGCTCCAATCTTTCTGCAATTTTTCTTGCCCTCTGTGAAAATTTAAGGCTGTTTTCTTAGCCTCATTGCCAGTTCCATTTGAAGCCTGGAAACATTGTTTTTTGGTAAATAACACTTGAAACTGTTTACTCAGATGACCTATTATGAGAAATTTGACTGGATAAATTTGAGTCACGGAAAATTAAGTTAGCTAAATGTAGTACTGAGAGTGGTGGGTAAGTGTAGCAAAAATGAATATTTTGTACTATTTATTTGTACACTTTGCAGAATTTTATTTATGCACTTTGCCGTCTGTCTCCAGAAAAATCTATCATCTTTTGGTTTTTAGTTATTTGATATTTTAAGGAAATGAGCTTTTCCTTAGAGTGCCTCTTTCAAATAAACTTTGGAAGGAAAGAAGCTGTTTAAAATGATAGCCTTTGGCATGGGCTTCGCTCTGAGATTACTGGAGTCTCCTGATAAAGAGCTCGGCTTCCTGTACATGCCTGGCTTAGTTGGATCTAAGGTCTTTGAAGATGGAAAGACACGCTGGGTCTGAGCAGCAGGACCAAGCAGATGCTGCCAGGGCACTGACCCGAAGGGTCCGTGCCAGGAATGTTCACCGGATCAGGTGTATACTGGAATGGCCATAAACCACATAATCTGTTTAATGTGCATAGAGGAGAGAAGCCAGAGGTCCCTCCAAGAGCAGCGATATGGGGCAAGAAAAAAGATGGCCCATGAACAAGAACCGGAGGCCAGGCACAGGTTGGCAAGAAGGGCAGACTGGTCTAGGGTGCAAGTCATGAGCAAAGTAAGTGTTGGGATCCTACTGTTTTTGAATGTAAACCATCACATCAGCATACATACAAAGCATGATGGGTCCAACTCTCTCATCTTTTACATGAAAAAAGAGGGGTCCAGTGGGGATAAGTGATCTCCCATGGTCACGGGACCTTGTCAGAAGCAGAGTAGGGTCCCCCCCCACACATAGAAATTCAGTGTGTATTGATAATTAGATAGAAAAAGGTGAGCTTTGACTGATCTAGAGTAGTACTGTCCTGTGGAAACATAATTCCAACTACAAATATAATTTTAAATGTTCAAGTAGCTTTATTTAAAAAGTAAAAAGAAGCAGGTGAAATTAACTTTAATAATATATTTTATTTAACCAAACATATCCACAGTGGGAGGATTGACACATATCCATCACCCCAGTGTTTTATTCCTAGGTTTGAACTCAGAAATAACTAAGGTTTGTAAAAAAAGTTGTAAAAATCTCTGCTTTATTATACTAGCTCATATCACTTTTACTAACTTCCCTCTGCACTTGTGATTTTCATAATGATTCAAATAATAGCTGCTGACATTAGGTGGAATGAGTTAGAAACTCACTGTGATCTGCTCTTCAATTTCTATCTAATTTTTTACTGAGTTAGTTAGACAAGGTAATAGTAGCTGCTGTAACAGATAAGTCCTTCAGATGTTGGAGTTTAACACATACTAGTAAGAAGTTTACTTTTTTCTTAGGTAAAGTTCTGATTGGTAAGGTGGCTATGTTGCAAGAAGTGGTCCATGGACTCAGGAGCCTTCCATTTTGAGGTTTTTCTCATCCTTACACCTGGTTTCCAAGGTTGCTGTGCTTCTCTGCGTTAAGAGGAAAGAGCTTGGAGGATTTCGAGTAGCTGGATTTTATGGACAGGGCTCCCACTCCTGCTCACATTCTATTGGTCAGGACTCAGTCACATGACAACTTCTAATTGCAAGGGAGGCTGGGACATTTCCATTAGCAGAATGCCCTGGAAGAAGAGAAGGCAGGTTTGGTACCACAGCTACATTATTTCCTCCCAAAC